GCGCGAGGCACAGTCAATGTCCACGTCGGCGTCCTCGCGGCTTGCGTGGACGTCCACCAGGTCGTTGTCCACGTCGACGTCCTCCACATCGCCACTCTCTCTCGCCCCATTCAACACCCCGGCTCCGTGTTCGTCCGGGCCTCGCACAATCACAGCCACCCAGGGGTCGCCCCGTCTCTCTCGCACTCGCGGGGCGTCCGGCTGCCCGGCGTGGGTGCGAGAGAGACGGAGGCGGCTAGGCTCGGCTAGGCGGCTCCCCTCCCGCGCGATATGATCGCCCCCCGAATGACAGTGTAGTGGCACTGACGACGAAGCGGCTCCACATCAACACACATTAACGGCTCGTTCGGCGCGCTAAACACGCCTGCATCAGCAGAGCCCCGTCCCGCTCGCACCCCTGCGGGGCGGCCCGCGAGTGCGAGAGAGACAGAGCCAGCCTGCCGCCAATCCCACGGCAACACACTCGACCACGACGACGTCGAGGACGACGTCGAGGACGACATCGTCGGCGTCCTCGCGGCGCGGAAGCAGTCCGCCCTCCGTCGCTCTGCCTCTCTCTCACTTGCACTCACGGGGCGTACCGCACAGGATGACAAATTCACGCGGCGGCGAGCGCCCCTGCAACGGGATTACCACCCTCGTCCCACACCGCTACATGAATTACCTCGCCGTCAAAGGACGCCGCCGCCAGAAGCGTCCTGCGTCGCCTTGCGCGCGCGCGCCCCTCCCGACGCTTTTTGGGCCTCCAGACTCTCTCTCTCTCTGTCTCTCTCGCACCAACACGGCACGCCACACGAGTGCGAGAGAGACGGAGCGACGCCGGCCGGAGGGGGCTCCCCCGGGCCAGTGGCGGCGTACCCGCGCGTCGTCATGGCAACCACGGTGCGGCGTCGCATCACCATCAGGAGGGGCTGGCTGGGGAATCGGGTGCAAAATCTAGAGGGCGCGGTCCTCCACCTGGAACGAGTCTGTGTGTGTGTGAGTGTAAGTGTGTGTGGGCGCGCGCGCGCGTTTTAGTACAAGCGCATCCCGCCCCACCCATCCCCGGCAGGCGCCGCTTTTTGGCCGCGGACCACAAAACCAGCACGGGGAGCGCTTCAGCCAAAACGCGCCAACTTGCGAGCGAAACGCGCGCCTCCCCCCTCCCCCTTGCCCAACAAAAATAATGAATAAAAACAAATGCGAGAATTACGCCCCAGTTTGCAAACCCAACCCTCCTTATCCGCGCCAGCAAAACTCCGGGGCGAAAGTGAGCACAGCCAGAGGGGTGGGGAGGGATCCAGCCACCCTCGCTGTCGCACCTGAACAAGCGCGAATAGCCTTCGGAAAGCCCCCGGCAGCACCGTGGGGCCTGGTGGGGCCGCCGCGGCGGAGGGCTTATGAAGAGGCTAACCCCGCGCCAAGACCTGGGGGGAGTAGCCCTACACTGCCAGCCCCTGCCTACCACTACACCGTGAAAGGGGGGAAGAAAAAAAAGGTGCAACAACTCGGAGGCCCCTTTCGCGCCCCCCGCGGGGGCTTTGGTGTGCAGTTGTGCACTCGTCGCGAAAAAAAAGGGGCGAAAGAAAAAACACAGAAAATAAAAAAAAGGGACGCTCCCGCGGCAAGAAAGGAAGAAAGGAGAGAAAAAAGAGCATGAAAGGGGTGAGAGGGTCGGGAGAGAAAAGCGAGCGCTTCCCCTGTATAAAAAGGGACAAAAATGGAAAGGGGGGGGGGGGAGGGTGCTGGTGAAAGCAAACGCCCTCGCGGCCTAAACGCGACCAGGGTAGGCAATTATAAAACGCCAGTCATTTTCGCAAAAAAAATAAGTCTTTTTTGTGGAAAAGTGAGAATCATGTCGATTGGGCGCCCTAGTCGGGGCGGGGCGGCCCAGGGCCATGGCCTCGACCCCCGACCAGGACCACTGATGGACGGCGCCAATGTACAGTGTACACCCCTAAGCGGCCATCCCGGCCAGCAGCACATCATGGCGGAAACATTGACACTGCGGGGCGGGAAGGGACAGAGTGGCGGCCCGGCCCTGCCCAGCCCAGCCCTGCCGCGCCATGACTCACCCCTGCAAACACGCTCCCCGCCACTACATTTCGCCACAATAGCGCGCAGGAAATTGGGCGCCCCGGGTGGGACTCGAACCCGCGACCCTCGACCCCGAATGTCGGCGCCCTTACCGACTGCGCCACGGCGGCGCCGGCGACAGTGCGCCGGCCGCACCCACGCGCGGCATCCGTCACTTTCCGAGAAGGCCGCCGCGCATGCCGGCCATTCTTCCCGCGAACGGGACGGCGTGAGTGATGCAGCGACTCTCTCCGTCTCTCTCGCACCCCCGCGCCGCGCCGCACCAGTGCGAGAGAGACAGCGCCGCGGGTGAGTCATTGGCATTTGCATGTAGACGCTCCGCGCTTCGCGCCCGACAGTGTGTCACCGCGCCACTGCGCGCCACCGGAACCAACGGCGCGGCCGGGACGGGCGCATTCCTCGACAGCCAATCAGAAGCCGGCATTGCGCAACCAGTGTAGTGGACCGCGCGGCGCGCGCCTTCTCCGCGAAAACGGTGCCGTGGCGGTTGACGACCACAAGGGGGCCCCGCGCCCCGCGGTGACTCACTTCGTGCGAGCAGCGACCTTTGCGCCTCCCTCTCTCTCTTTCTCGCTACACTCGAAACTAATTCCGAGACCAGACCGCGAAGGAGGAGGAGAGAAGGCTCCCTAATCCTATCTCATCTCCGACGACCAAGCCTGCAAGCGGCCAGCCAGCCAGCCGCCCACAGCCTTGTCCTTTTAAACGCATTCCCGTAATAAAATCAAGCCCTCCAGATTTGCACCACCACCGCCACTCCCCCGCCAACATCTTCCCCGCTCCTGTTCCAGCGGTTCCAGCGTCGCGGCGCGTCGCGGCGCCAAGACAAACGACGCCAAAAAAAGTATTAGACGCCACTGTTTTCACCGTTGGTGCGAATTTCCAGCCGACGCTGCGAAAATCCAACGCCTCAATTTGCGCATGCTCTCTCTGTCCCTCCCTCGAGGCCCTGCGCAGGGAGCGAGGGCGCCATTTTCCCTTTCACCGAATAGCGGATCGACAGAATTGAATCACGGGCGGCCGAAGCCGGCCGGGGCGGGCAGGGCCTTCATCGCCACGCGCGAGACGCGCCAACCCTCCGAGACCCATTACGTCATCCGCAGAGGTTTCGCGCGGGTTCAAACACCGCACAGTGGGCCAGAGGATCGGTAGAGGCGGCCAAAACTCTAGACGCGTTTTGAGCTCCAGAGTCGCCAAATTGGACTCCGAACGTGTGACACCATCAATGGATCCCTTGTTCGGAGAGCAATCCATTGGTGGGGTCACATGCTCGGTTCGCGTCCTGTTTAGCGACTCTGGAGCTCAAAACGCGTCTAGAGTTTTGGCCACCGGTCTTCTGGCCCACTGTGCACCGGCGGCGGCGGTGATTTTTATTATTTTCGGCCGGCCAGCATCGTCGGCCTGGCGAGTCGCATTGTCCAGATTCAACAACGACGCCCCGTAATACCCGTCCACACAAGTCGGAGGGGCCGAGCCGGGCTCAGCCGACCCAATATCAAGGGCCGCCGTAATATGATTTGCGAGCGGTCTGGACTCTGGACGCCGCCCACGCCCCCTGGCGGCCGCGCTGCCGCGCCCCACACCGCCGCCAAACAGCCGGACGTGGTCCACCCAGCGTCCCGTCTCTCTCGCACCCCCGGGAAGCCGCCCCCCGCGCGCCCCGCGCGCCGCGAGTGCGAGAGAGACAGAGAAGCGGCCACTTCAATTATTCGTCCGGGTCGTCGGTCGGCCCAGAGGGCGCCAAATCAGACGCCCTCCGCGGCGAGGAGGTTCTCGAGGAGGCGGGGACCGACAGCCGCGACGACGCCCTCCGCGGGGCAAAAATCCCGGAGGGGCCGAAAGAAGAAGCAAGCGTCCCTCAGGAACCCCGCACCCCCCGGCAGTGGCGAGGAACTACACAGAGTTTTGTTGTTGTTGTTATCGACACCGCCTTGTTCGCTAATTCCAGGACGTGCCGCGGACGCGCCAGTCCCCCACCTGAGTCACAGCGAGCCTCCGGATCGATGGGGAGGTTTTGTGCAGCGTGAGTCAGTCCACCACCCTCTGTAGGGTGACGCACCCTGCTTACGCCCGCCACAGGGCTGGGCTGCGCTGGGCTGCCGAGCCCGAGCGCCACGCCCAACCCCCCCGAGGTTGCTGCACTGCAACGGGGTATCGACTGGGGCGGCCACGGACGGGGTAGCTCCACGGCCGAAGAAGCAGCGTGACCGGCGGACCACAGTGGGCCAGAGGAGCGGTGGAGGCGGTCAAAATCCCGGACACGTTTTGAGCTCCATTGTCTTCGATCCGAACGAGTGAGCCCACCAATGGATTCCTCGTTCGGAGAGCAATCCATTGATGGGGTCACATGTTCAGTTCGAGTCCCATTTAGCTACTCTGGAGCTCAAAACGCGTCCGGGATTTTGACCGCCTCAACCGGTCTCTGGCCCACTGTGCGGACTTGACGGCCTCATCCAGACCAGACGAAAAGGGGTAGTCCACCCACTGAGACGAGGATCCCGGCCTGGCCAGCCCATTCCCAGCGATCCGTTTACGGGTCCCCGACCAAACGACTTGTCAAACGGCGGCTATGAAAAATTTACGAGAGCACCCCCTTTCGCGACGCGCCGCCGCGCCTCGGCCCCGCCCAGCCCCGCCCCCCGAACGAGCGCGTTGCGCGTTTAGGCTGGCCGGCTGGAAGTGCAACTTGTCAACTTCCGGTCCGCCGCCCCCCGCCGCGCCCCGCCACCGGATGCCCCCCAAACACGCCACGATGCACCCGGGCCGCCATGGCTTGGACCGGAACCAGGCGGGTAAACAAAGCCTGCCAACCACTGCAGTTGTAACAACATGACGAGGACGCCGTCGTCCAGGACGCGGAGTGGACGTCCCCCGCACTGCCAAAAAAACACCGCAACACCGTAAAACCAAAACCGTAAACTCACCTCTGCGATCTCCTCGGACTTCTCCTCCCGGGTGGGCTTGCTCTTGTCCTTCTTGGAGAACGAGATGGACCTGAACGACCACTTCTTCTTCTTCTTGGTCTTGTCTTTCTTGTCCTTCTTCACCTCCTCCTCGGTGGCGTCGCCGTTGGCTTCGCCGTTGACGTGCTCCGCGTCGCCGTTCACCTTCACCTCCTCGGACGGCGAGGCGGGCGACGCGGGGCTGGCGGGGCTGGACTCGCCGTTGACGGCGGCCTCCTCCACGCTGTTGACGTCCTCCTTGTGGCCGTTGGTGAGCTCCACGCCGTTCTCGTGGTGGCCGTTGACGCCGTTCACGAGCTCCTCCTTGACGCCGTTCACCTCCTCCTTGTGGCCGTTGACTGTGGGCGCCGCGTCGCCCTCAGGACTCGCGTCGTGTCCGTTGGCGAGTGCCTCCTGCAACAACACGGAAAGGGACTTTGAGTAATGACATCGCTTCACACAACATTTTACTTTCCAACTTGAGTACAGTATTGGATTTTATTTTCCCGACCCACGCACAGTCGGCCAGATGAACCGGCGCGTTTTGAGCTCCAGAGTCGCTAAATGGGACTTGAACCGAACGTATGACCCCGCCAATAGATTGCTCTCCGAACGAGGAATCCATTGGTGGGGTCACACGTTCGGTTCGAGTCCCGTTTAGCGACTAGCTCAAAACGCGTCTCGAGTTTTAGACGCCTGCACCGGTCTCCTGGAGCCACGTTTGTTCGTCGTGTACTACACCAGTTTCATCTCAGGCCTGCGTTTGAACAGCGCAGTGCTCTCCACGCCCAGCCCAGCCTATAAATCGAAAGAGAGAGAAGGATGCACTGCCTCACTACTTCCGTCCGCCTCGATAAACCCCCGACCCGGCGGCCGGCCGGCCTCGCCACTGTAATACTGACCGAGTCAAGCTCAAGACTAAGGTGTAAAGGGAAAGCCGCGGCCGCCGCGACCTCCGCGCAAGGCGACCCCAGCGCCGCTGCGCCGCCTGTTCACAGAGGTCGCAGTGCACAGCATGCTGTGCCTGCACTTGCAGTAATTGCAACAATCTTGTTTACCACTGCAGGCGGCGTGTCCTTGGCTCGGATAGGGGGCCGTTGCCCCGCGGCTTGCCGTCGGCCCGCCGTCGGGCAGCGCTATCACTCGCGGCGCGGCTATCGGCGCGCCCGCATGCCGCACCTCCAGCTGGACGCCCAACAACAACAACAACAACAACAACAGGCAGCGACAACAGCAACAAGAGCCGCCGCCAGCAACAACAGCAAGAGCCACCGCCGCACAGTGGGCCATAAGACAGGTGGAGGCGGCCAAAACTAAACTCTAGACGTGTTTTGAGCTCCAGAGTCGCTACATGGGACTCGAACCGAACGTGTGACTCCACCAATGGATTGCTCTCCGATCGAGGAGTCCATTGGTGGGGTCGCAAGTTCGGCTCGAGTCTTGCTTAGCGACTCTGGAGCTCAAAACGCGTCTAGAGTTTTAGCCGCCTGCACCGGTCTTCTGGCCCACTGTGCGGCGGCAACAACAGCAAGAAGAGCCGCCGCCAGCAACAACAACAAGGCCCGAGGGTAATTCGACACGGCCTACGGTAGCTGGGTGGAGGCGTGGGCCCCGGAGGGCCGCGCGCCAAAGCCAGGTAAGCAACGCGGCGCGACGCCTCCAACCCCTTTCTTATCTCCCGTTTCACAGGGAAGGGCTGCCCGCCCGGCCTCCGGGCTGCCCCGCGCAAGAAGCACGTCACACTGTGGGAGCGACGTCGTCGCCGTCGTGGACTCAAAACCAAAAGCCGGCCCCGCCTCCCGAAATGAAGGCAACCTCTGTCTCTGTCGCACTCGTGGGGCGTCCCGCAGGCCCGAGGGGTGCGAGCGAGACGGGGCGCGCCCGTCCCTCGTCTTTATCGTCAAAATAATTGGCCTGTCGCACAAGAGTGAGAGAGAGAGAGGCCGCCAAATCCATCCCCAACACAACAGCATGCCAGTACTATCGGGCCCCACCCCGGCCAGGCCTGTGGCCAGGCACGCACACATCTTTATCGACAGCCGCACACAGACAAAGACACTCACACACGCACGGACGGACCTCTGGACAGAAGGCCCATCGGCGCCGGCCACTGTTGACGGCGGTCGCCGATAGCCGCGTTGATTGGGGGGCCTAAAACTCGGAACTCAAACAGGACGCACACAGAGCGACGCGAGCGACGCGACAAAGCCCCTAAGTGGCGGTGCCTGTATCTCGAAAACGGCCAAAGTGGCGGCCGCCAGGCGGAGGGCAAGAAAGTTGGCAAATTGAATTTGGAAACGAAAGCGTCCCGGGCAGGGTTGTTAACGTTACTTTTAAAAGGCTAGAATCGCTAAATGGGACTCGAACCGAACGTGTGACCCTACCAATGAATTGCTCTCCGAAAGAGGAATCCATTAGTGGGGTCACAAACTCAGTTCGAGTCCCATTTAGCGACTCTAGACCTCAAAACGCGTCCGGGATTTTGGCCGCCTCCACCGGTCTTCTGGCCCACTGTGCGACCGGCCCATTCTGCACGCCAATCCCGTAGCTGCGGCACTGTAGGGGCCACGGACGAGGGCCCGTCGCGGCACTGCGATTGGCCACACAGGGCGCGGGGGAAAGAGAGAGACAGAGAGGGAAAAAGCCAAGAAAATGACGCCGGCGCCGGTATTCGAACCAGGGTCGTAGGACATAATCCGGGCGGCGACCGCCGCCACTCGCCTGCCCGGACGCCGACGGCCGCCAGGAATGCACCGCAGGTCGTCTCCCTCGCACTCGCGGGGCGGCCGGCAGGGTCCGCTGGGGTGCGAGAGAGACAGAGAGCGGCCCGCCGAGGCGCACTTCTGCCTTGGTCGGCCTTGAGGTGCCGGCGGCGTGACGGTGCCCGCGGTGCCGCGATAGCTACGCCACTCAGTGCTTCAGTAGCGTACACTCACCGCACTCGCTCCGTCTCTCTCGCACCCGCACTGCACGCCCCGCGGGTGCGAGAGAGACGGAGCGACGAAAGCGACTCACGGTGTGCTGCCTCGCTCCGCCACCGACGAGCACATCGGCAAGCCTGTCGCCGACTTTACGATGCAGCAAGCCGGTTCCAGGTTCCTCGCCCGGCCGGCCAGCCCGCGACTCTGGAAGTACGCGCCCCTCCTGCAGGGGCCGCACAGTGGGGCAGAAGACCGGAGGAGGCGGCCGAAACTCTACGTATTTTGTGCTCCAGAGTCACTAAATTGGACTCGAACCGAACGTGTGACCCCACCAATGGATTGCTCTCCGAACGAGGAATCCATTGGTGGGGTCACACTTTCGGTTCAAGTCCCATTTAGCACTCTGAATCTCAAAACGCGTCCAGAGTTTGTGCCACCTCCACCGGTCTTCTGGCCCACTGTGGGGCGGTGCACCCACACTGCAAAGCAGCGCAAAAAAAATGGGGCGCTTTTTCGGCTTCCACGAAAGTTCCACTGGCCTCTGGTCGGACGACGCGGCGGCGACCTTCACTGTGAAAAACGGGGCGGGGCAACGCAAGTGAGGGTAGCGCTGTCTCTCTCGCACGCGAGCGCGACGGCCCACGAGTGCGAGAGAGACGGAGCAGTCTGCAGGCGACACGGGCGTCACAATCCCGCGACATCACGGGAACAGCACGCAGCGCCGCAGGGGGTCCCGGGGGACTCCCTCGGAGTGAGAGAGACACACACACACACACGCAAGTCGGGGGCACCACAAAGACAGGCGCCATTTTGACGAAATGCCCAAAGTGGAGCAGCGGGCAGGAAGGCACGCCCGTCCCCGGAATCCAGTCGAAGAGTCGTGTCTGTCTCTCTCGGCCCCCACGGAACGCCCCACGAGTGCGACAGAGGCAGGGCTTTGGAATCAGGCTGCAGCTGTGCCATTCCCCGACGATGCACACTGCACTGCAACACACCCCAATTTCAAACTCCGCGCTGCGTCGCCGACCGTCCATCCGCACAGCCAGCCCAGAGACCCACGGCACCGTTAGAAAGTACGATACATTGTTTTGGACACGGCGACCCCGCCCTCCACACCCACGCACTGCCCGGCCGTGCGGGCATGCAGGCCGCCCCAAACCGCCGTGCGGCATGGCAAGAGAGAGGAGAGGTCCGAAGAGCAACCAACGCCCCAGTGTGACGCGCAGTGACCTCATGGGGGCAGTCAAGGGGCGTATAAATCATATTAGTCGGACCTGCATCAACCATCGCGGGAAGCAAAAGGGGCAGGGGAGGGGGAAGACCGGCAGACTCGGCTGGTACAGGGAGGTCAGACGGACGGACGCACGGCCAAGTCGCCATGGGAACGGCGTGTTCACTCACAGCCGATGAAAGAAGCAATTGTGTCCAATTACGCCTCGCCAGGTCACAATACTAATATCAATGACCACCACAACGCGTCGTCACGCCAGAGCGAGTGCGAGAGAGAGAGAGAGAGGCTACCGGGCTAAAAATAGAGCGCCAGTCCACTGTACCGAGATAGCGACAGAAACAGTACGTGTGTGCGAGTCTTGGCGAATGCGCGTCTTGCTATGAGCGAGTGGGATGTGTGTGAGTGAGTACTGTACGTGTGCATGTGTGTTTCCGAGTATGTGTGCGTGTCTCGTCATCCAGACTGTCGGCCGGACAGCCTTAGAAGGCAGCGAGATGGTCAAGCCCCGGAGGACATCGGGCCGGACACCTGCCGCGACACATTCCAGAGCTCTACTCTCCGCCGCCGGTGCTGTGATGAGTACGTCGAGGGCGCAGCGACACAGTGGGCCAGAAGGCCGGCGAAGGCGGCCAAAGCTCTAGACGTGATGTGTTCTCCGGAGTGGCTGAATGGGACCGCCCTCACCAATGGATTGCTCTCCGAACGAGGAATCCATTGGTGGGGTCACACGTTCGGCTTAGCGACTCTGGAGTCTGGAGATCACGCATCCTAGAGTTTTGGCCGCCTCCACCGGTTTTCTGGCCCACTGTACGGCGGCGACGCCCGAGGGCGCTACGCGACGCCGGTACAATGCGAGGGGGGAAGGGGGGCGGGGGAGGGGCGCCCCGCCTCACACCGCCCTGCCGCGCCGCCGCGCCGTTCGCCGAGGCTTGGACCATTCGGGAATGGCGCTCGGGAGCCGATTTCAGGCCCGAGTCGCACGACGGCCAAACGGCGGACAGCGCCGCGAAGAGGTGTCCAGCCGAGCCACGGTGAAACGCGAAGCCCTGGCGAAGCCGAGCCGCGCCGCGAACTAAGCCGAACCGGCGAGCCGAACCGCCGAGCCGAAGTGAGTGAGCCGCCGAGGCTGGCGTGGCGCGCTGGCGAGGCTGCCGAGGCCATCCCGACGATCCTCACCGTCCAATCGAACTCGCCGCGCGGCACCGAGGCACCGTCGGCACCGCCGGCACCGCGCTGCACGGCCAAGACGGGCCGCCGGCGGGGCCGACGGCCGCGAAGCGAACGCGAACCCTTCGGGGCCTTCGGGCCTTCGGGCCGTCGGGCCGTCGGCGAGGAGGTCGCCGCGACGCCGACGCAGCGACGCCGCCACAGCGCCGCCGGGCATGGATCCAGGGGGAGGGGGGCAAGACCGGTGGAGGCGGCCCAAACTCCAGACGCGTTTTGAGCTCCAGAGTCGCTAAACAGGACTCGAACCGAACGCGTGACCCCACCAATGGATTACTCGTTCGGAGCAATCCGTAGGTGGAGTCACACGTTCGATTCGAGTCCCATTTGGCGACTCTAAAGCTCAAAGCGCGTCTTGAGTTTTGGCCGCCTCCACCGGTATTCTGGCCCACTGTGGGGCGCCTGTGGGTAAAGAGACGCACTTCGCCCCTGGAAGGTGGTTTCTTGCAGTGTGGGAGTCCTCACCTTGCCCTCGGCGTGTCCGTTGGCGACCTTGGCCTTGAGGTCCGCGACGCCAGCCTCCTCGATGCTGGCCAGCTTGCCGTCCAGGGCGGCCGCCTTGCCCGTCGCCACCTGCTCGCCGTCCTTCGTCGTGATGTCCACCGACCGCTTGCTCTGTCGCACTCCCATTGTGGCACCTGCAATCGGAGAGAGGGGGAGCGATAAGTCAAGAGTGTATTCGCACTCGACCTACGGGACCCTCGGGCCGACCCCGAAAACAGTGTAGTGGCTCCGTCCCTCTCGCACCCCACCACGGACGCGCCAAGTGTGCGAGAGAGACGGAGCGACGACTGCGCTACTCGGAATCGGCCTGCTGCAGCACGAGAAAATGATTAACAGCTGCGAGAAGTCGCCATATAAGATCCAATCGGGCAGACAGACGGCACTGCCGTGTGTGCGAGTGTGTGCGTGTCTAGCACTAAACGAAGCGAACGCGCGAAAATGCCAACTAGATCGGAAACAACGAGCAGTTTTCCTTAAAAAGACGAAGTACAGTCCGAACAAAAAGAACAAAACAGCGTGCCGCACTGGTCGGTGCTGAGATAAACATCCGATCGGATTCGCAAACAGTCGTAGTAATAGGTGGGGCGATGTGGGGTTGGTTATGTTTAGTCTTTTTATGCCCCGCGGGGGAGGGGAACGGGGAGAGAGGGCAAAGTGCTTCCGGATGCAGATCCCAGAGAAATGTCATGGAGGTCCTAGCGAAGGTCCTTGTGTGAGGTCCTGGTCCAGTTCCTTGAGGGGCCCTAGTCCTGGTGGGAGGTCGAAGTGAACCTGCTTGAGGTCCTAGACCAGGTCCTGCAGCAGGTGCCGGCCGTGCTGCGGCACACTGTGCTGGCCGCCTGCCGGTCCCACAGCCCGAGGCCCGCTCCGGAAGCCCTGCGATATCTCAATAGCCAAAGCCTGACTAGTCTGGCAGCGACGGAAATATTAGACACCGCCATGAACCCTCCGCCGCGCTAAGCCCACGACGCCCTGCTGCCTAGCCCGCCCCAATCATACTAAAAAGGGCGCATTATGGGCGATTAAAAGGCAGCGCACGCCGCGCAAACAGCCAAAAAGGTCGCCCCGTCTCTCTCGCACCCCACGGGGTGCTTGCAGTCTGCCGCCAACCCCGTGGCGGTCGTCGGCGTGGTCCCAGCCCCCCGGGGAGGCCGTTCCCACTGTCCGCCTGTCCCTCTCGCACTCGTGGGGCGTCCCGCGCGCGGGTGCGAGAGAGACACGGCGACGAAAACGACTCTCAGTCTGCTGGAGGAGATCAAGGACCGCGGGGCACTAAAAAGAGCGCCGGAAGCGAAGAGGACAATCCGGAACAGCGGGGCCGCACCACGCACCTGACGCTAGCCCCCCATTCACCCCCACACCAATAAATAACACTTCACGTGACACCAACAGGCCAGGGCTTTCTGGGACATTTTGCGCTCTACTGTCCTCAGAAACCTGCGTGAGATTGCCGATGGTGCGTTTTGACCTCCGGAGTCGCACTGAGAAAACCTTACAAACTATTTTGGGCCTTACAAAGAAAAGCAGTTTGTATAACAAAGTATTTTGAGCATACGTAAGCTTACAAAGAAAATACTTCGTAATTCACGAACTATTTCTTCGTATAACAAAGTAATTTAGTTTGTTATATGTATGCTCAAAATACTTCGTAAGGTTTTAAGAGTGCGCTTAACAAGACTCGTTGAGCGTGTGGCCCCACCAATAGATTCCTCGATCGGAGAGCAGTCCATTGGTGGGGTCACACGTCCGGTTCGAGTCCCTAGGCGACTCTGGAGCTCAAAACGCGACCGGGATTTTGGCCGCCCCCACCGGTCTTCCGGCCCACTGTGCGGCACTGCCGAGGCCGGTCACATTTGAGGACAGTGCAGCCACACCTGCGAATCAGGCCGCGAAGGCCCGCCTATCTCCTGTAAGGGGATCAGTACGTCGATTAGCGAGTTATCGCATTGTCGCGTCATTTCCCTTTCTCTCTCTGTCTCTCTTTTCCCGGAACCGATCCGCCATTTACCGCCGCCGACGCATTGCCTCTCAGCAGCCAGTCCACGCGCGGCGACACACACGACAATCAGGCAAAAAGCCAAACAAACAAAAACAAGAGTGCCTGCACTCGAACCGTCGGCAGCGCGTCGAGACCGACCAATTGACTCCCATGCAAACTGCCTAATTATTACACAACGCGTCTGTCTGCAAAAAGAGAGGGGGGGGGGGCAACGGCCAGACAGGCCACCCGCAAGGCTCGGAGCAGTAACCCACCACAACGACAGCCAAAAATAAATTTTCATTCTTGTTTGTTGTTTTTGTTTAATTTTTTTTAACAGTGTGGACGACGGCCGGCCCACCCTGACGACACTGCCAATGGCCATCATGACGAAACTGAGCGCGTCTCAAACACACACACTCACTCTCCCAAGTTGCAAGGGAAAACAATGCATTCTCCGCCGCGCCCTGCCCACACACACTCACTCACTCACTCACACAGTCACTGCCAGCCATGCTGCCAGTACACACGCCAGGATGCAGCTTGCTCTGCCGATAACAAAGCGGACTGCCAATAGTACAGTCGCGGAAACTCAAAGTGACCTCTGTAACGGTCTCAAAATGTACGTACTCCTGTTCAACAAAGAGGAAAAAAATGGGGCAAAAAATGAAATTACTACAAAACTTATACCGATTTTGAATAAAAAGTTATTCTCCTTTTATGGAAAGGCACCAAATTTTGAAACAAAGCCATCCTGACGCTTTAACACTTCAGTTCTGCCCTTTAAAAATAAAATACAAAGAAAAGCGGGAGACACGTTTCAGCGACAGTCCCTCCCTCAGACTCGTCCACGAAGACGGGCCCAACAAAGCAGCCTGCCCCTCGGACAGACAGCCTCGGGGACGATAGTCTAGAGTCAAGCGTCACAGTGACACACAGTGACAGCGGTCCCGAGCGGCGCAGTCCGCAGTGCTCGCTAAAAGACGCGCACAAACCCGAAGGCCCACTGACACACAACGCGACTTGCGCCGTCTCCTTGTGCAAAGACACAAGCCAAACACGCGCACGGACAAACACAAACACACGCATGCCGGAGGCGCTTCTCTTTCCCTCCAAACTACAGTTTCTAAAAATACTGCGGTCCTACCGTATTGCAGTTTGCCCAGCAGGCAGAGAGAGAGAGCGAAACATGGGCCGATTTAAATGTCTCCGAATGAAAGCGAGAGTACAAAGGAGGGAGGGGTGGAGGGGGAAAGGGGTGGAGGGGGAAAAAGGGGGAGTGACCGCCAGGCGAGGCGGTCTCATCACTTATAGGTTTGACCTTATGGCCGGGTAACACGAGTCGCGCCGCGCCGCCCCGCCCGGCCATCGTCCCCACAGTGCACCCACGCCCGCAGCAGCGCGCAGCCCCACCGTGCATGCCCGTGAATCGATTACAAAAATGGGCGCCCTTATCGGACTTTATTTCAATTCCAGGCCGGTCACACATGCCCACGCTCCCTCCCCCTACGCTGGAAAAAAATCGACGCTAATTGTTTTCTTTTTTACGAAAAGTTGTTCTTTCACTGCTAAATTGTACTAAAACCGAACGTGTGACCCCACCAATGGACTGCTCTCCGAACGAGGAATTCACTGGTGGGGTCACACGTTCCGTTCGAGTCCTGTCTAGCAACTCTGGAGCTCAAAACGCGTCCAGAGTTTTGGCCGCCTGCGCCGGTCTTCTGGCCCGCAACTGTGGGGCGGTGTGACAGTCCCAACCAAAAGCAGATAAGCCACACTCGGTACGGCTGCAGTCAAAAGGGAAGGCCTTTCTCCGCGTGAAGAGTGTCCGAGCAAGACGAAGAAAGGGAGGGGAGGGGAGGGGTGGGGTGGGGGATCGAGATGGTATCGCACGGCCGGAAGTCACGTCACACTTCTTCTCGTCTTGGACACCGGAAACGGCCCAAGCCAAGCAGGTACCTTCGAATCGCCTGCCAAGCATTCAGAGGCCGAGAAAAAGAAAGAAAGAAAAAAGAACGACATAGCAATGAGAATAGGGGTTCAAAGATTATGCGAGATTTAAAGAAATAAAGTGAGAGATAAAACGAGACCTGATTTCAACAATGAGACAGCGTCAAGTGCCGATAAACTATAAAGGCAGCCCCGGGGGCGAATTAAAAACTAGTAAAAGCGAGGCAAAACAATTTAACATATGCCACGCCCCGCCGGCCCGCCGCGCGTGGCGATTTGGGCGGGGTACCGGTAACCGCTGTCAGCCGGCAGCACACGTGCCTCGCTTCCCCTCTCTCTCTCTCTCCCCTCATCTCTCCCTCTCTCTCATCATTATATTTTTATGGAGGCGAACAACATGTCGCACGAGCCATTAACGGAATTCAGCGACCGTCTTCCAAACACGCCACGCGGGGTGGATGGAGACTGGTCACGTCTGCCACGGTCTGCCGTCTCTCTCGCACTCGCGGGGCGTCCCGCAGGGGTGCGAGAGAGACGGAGCGGCACACACGTCAAGGCGGCACAGAACGCTCTGCTGAATGAGGTGCGAATTGGCATGGTGGTTCCGGCAGGCCGCGGGGGTGGGAGCGAGAGAGAGAGAGGACCACATAGCAGAACGGGCCGACAGGGAGCAACACAAGCCGGTACGAAATGTACATACTATAGTGCTCACGCACACACACGCACACAGAGGCAGCACGCCGCGGTGGGTGGGTTTTAATTAGGCCGCTACGCTGTTAGTAGTCACTTTACCGGGCCGTTCCTGCGGGGCCTGCGGGACCCAGTACCTTTCCCTCAGGCCTCATTGGCACAGCCGCGCTGCACTACAACAGACAGACAGACAGACAGACCGGCGCCGGGCCTCAACTACTTCATCGAACAGCCCGTCTCCCTACCACTCGCCATATGCCGGGCGCCTTCTGTCTGTCCGTCCGTCTAGCCGCGGGCTGCATCGCGTGGCGCGGCGTGGCGCAGGTCAGGGCTGCCTTCGTGTCGTCTGCTATCGGTGCGTCGTCTGCTAGCAGCAAAACATCAACAACAAAAGCGTAATTGCGTCGTAAACTCGGGGTTCCGTGTATACACCCAAAGGGGGTGCAGTCGAGCCAAGCCGAGGGTGGTGGCCGTGGGGTAGGTCGGGGAGTGGGGAGGGGTGGGAGGGGTGCGTTG